ATAAATTATGTTGGTCAAGGGGTGTGACAAAAGTAGTTTTTCTCTAAGATCTATGACCTCTCCAGCCATGTATATTTGGCTATGTTTATAGTACTACACATGAATTCCTTCCCACTGAGTTCAACTAGAAAGCTGTTGAATACCCCCAAGATAAAAGTGCCACTATTGCACTAGTAGAGATGCTGGGCTGGTCATTGTTGTGGTTCATAGCCTTTACAGCTGGATGGAATCAGTGATTTTTTTTCCTCCCTTGGCAGTTTGCATAATATCTTATGATACTTGGGGAGCTGCTCTACAGGGAGGATTCTAGATCAGTTCTAGTTCAATTACTCAAGTCCTCTTTCTGAAATATATCCTGTCTTCAGTTCCGGAAGGCCATCAAGGACTGTGGCAATAGGCTGTGTTATTTTGGGAGTCTCTTGGACTACCCTGACCAACAACTTGAAGGGGGTTCCCCCTGTCTGGCACTGTGCTTTCTGTTATATAGTTTTCAGCTATACATATGCATATTGTATATGTATCTGTTGAATGTGTATTTTTTTAATTTGTTTTTATTGTGTATTTGTGTATTTCATACAGAACATCTCAATCAATCTTAATTATCTTCATATCCCCGTCCCCACCAACACCCTCTCATAGCCCTCCATTGGAGCCCCTATACTCTTGTCATCCCTGTTAAGGCCCACTGTGTCAAATCAGTGTCCCCAGATGTTCCCTAGTGCAAATCCATCCACTGAGGAACATCTGAGGACACCCTGAGTCAACATATCTAGAGTCCCTTGTTTTAGAAAGATTAGCTCTTCATCACCTAGCAGCAATCAGTTCCCAATATTTCTTTTGCTAAGATTGGGGTCTGCTGTTCATTTTCCCAGTTCTATGCTGGGTTTTTGTCTGCCTGAGTTTGCATGGGACTTGTGTATGCTGACATTATTGTCATAGAATCATGTGAGAAGGTTCCTAGGAGCTTGTAGGACTCTGTTTCCATATGGTCATGCACCTCCTTCTTGGCTGTTGCAATCTTCTTGCTCCTTCTTCTGCGATGGTCCCTGAGCCATGGATGGGTGAAGTTTCATAAAGGAGTCCTGTCCAAGGACCAGCATTCAGCAGACTTTTGATCTCTATGCTTTGGTTATTTTTGACCTTTTGTGTTCCTGGTCCTCTACTGCATTGAGGGAGCTTCGTTAATGAGAGCTGAGAGATTAATTAGTATTCTCTTCTTTATTTCTGTTCTATATTCCATGAGCCTTAGGTGTAGAGGTTGCATTGTAGATGTGTTACTTAGGCCTGGGTGATTCATAGACAATGTCCGTGTGTGACCAGTTGTAGTACTTGGTAATAGTCTCTGACTGATGCAAAATGAGCTTCTTTGATGAGTGATGACAAGGCTAAGATCTATGACCACTCCAACCATGAGTATTTGATTATGTTTACAGTACCACATTGTACAGTAGCCCATTGGGTGGGCTTTTAGTCCAATTAGATAGCTGATTATTGTCCCCAAGACAAAAGAGCCATTACTGCACCAATGTCATATTCTGTGATGGCCATTGATGTGGTTATTTGGTCTTGAAGCTGGTGTTGATTCATCCACTGATGTTTTCCTTTGGCACGTTCATGTCACTCTCCAAAGCTATGAGAGCTAGCCTTCAGGGGAAGCAGTTTCAGGTCAGTTGCTCAAAACCCGGTGTCTGACTACATTCTGTCTTCAGAAGTAGGGTCTTAGCTTCAATTTCTGGGAGGCCGTCAAGGTCTGTGGAAATAGCCTGCTTAATTATGGAGTCTCTTGGACCACCCTGACCAGCAACTCAAAAGAAAGTTTCTCCTGTCTGACACTGTTTCTTGATATGTAACCTTTACCTACACATTTTTTAATGTTTCCATGTTTGAATTTTAAACAATTTTGTAATTCTATGAAGGTAAAAAATCATAATAGATATATTTGCTAAATATATACTCCATTTTGGAAAGCCAATGTTACTTTGTCAAGGTTTAAGTTAGTGTGATTAAGAATCCTTGATTAAAATTCATTAAATGTGTTATCTGACTGCACTTTTAAAAATCTTTGACGTGTTGATCAGATTAAATTGATTTAATGTCAGTTGAAACTTAAATTTATTATTAGTCATGGTTAATTACTGTCAGAAAGGATATGGTCTATCTATTCATTTACATAAATGAACTTTCTTCTGGATTCCAATGAATTAATTACATTTCCTTTTAAATATAGCAGCTATATTCAACACTAACTTTTTACTAGTAGTGTGAAATGCTTTATTAATTTATGAAAAATGATCAGTATTCTGATACAGATGCTGAACTAGAGAACACATCTTAAGAGCAAGAATTTAGGAAGACAGACTCTGAGAAAGACAAACACCAACTTAAGACATACCAGATACCTCCGCATGTGACACAGCTTACTCAAGGACATGACACTGATTCAATAGCTACCTTCATTTGTGATTAAAATGTGAATGATCAGATTCTTAATAATCTATAACTTACTCTGAGAATAATAGTAAAACATTTTCTTGATAAATTTTATTATTTAACACTAAAAAATAAAGATATACAATTGTTTGAAATACAACCATAGAGTTAAATTCCTGTGTTGTAATGGTAGCCCCATTATTATACTTATAAATCACTTATGTGCCAAAAATTAAAGACAAAGAAATTGCCATTATTATTTATATATTCATTTCACTCATTATTTTATAGATACACTTGACATAAAGGTGAACTTTTCATTTTAATATAGTATATCCATTAAAAGAAAATTTAAGACAAATTAAATTAAGCATATTTGTTTGAGTAATGGATACACACCCGGTGTGTTATCATTTTATGCAAATACATGAATAAATGATTATTCAGTCCAGGTTGAGTACCAAAGACAAACCAAAGTAACAATTCAACTTACATTGTATTTAGGGAATCAATGAGTTTATAGAACTGAATGAGAATTTACCTATAGGACTGTGGGTAACCTCCAAACTGCTGCATCATTGCAAAGACCTACCCCATTATGAATTATGAATTCATGGAAACTGCATGATAGACCCCTAATTTCAGTTAACCTTCTACCTTTTATGTACTGTTAGGTTGCAAACCCTCTACCTGCTTTTGTCTCTTATTCACTCCTAGAAATCAAGCCAAACCACTGAAGTCTGTCAAAGAGCTGACAGGCTCTTGCAACTAAGGTTAGGACACACTGGGAAAAGCAAGCCCAGCCCCTCCTATTTGAAACTACAAGACAGATTTATCATCCATGTCCCTTGACATAGACTTGTCAGATTAAACCACACGATATGAACTTTCCAAAACTCCCCAAAAACCTCTGAAAATAAGGAATTTCCATTACTTCTGGAAAATTAATGAATCGGTCTCTCTCAGGACTCTGTCATGTTATATGCTATACATAGTGGCTTCCACTCATAAAGCTGCTCCTCTCTAGGTTTTGAAAGGAAGGTCTTCCTTTGTTTAAGGCCTTATCATGCTACCTCTATATGATGCTGTCTCCTAATGTTCTTCTACTTCAAGATCCAATCATGCCAAACCCCACCCCCAATCATGAGGCTCTCTCTGCTAACAAAGTTCATTCTAAAGGGTCATTTCATATCAGCTCCACGAAAGTCCTTGCTGCTTTCACCTGCATTTTTGTTATAACTTACACTTCAACATCTCCCAAAATTACTTGTATCTAGATGAGGAGCGGGGGTGTGGTGACTGCTGTCATAGGATCCTTCCTGTCTCCTTCTACTGGGGATTGTTAGTGTATCTGTTATCATTTCCAGAGATCTAGCTATCGCTGTATTGTTATATTCAATCAGTTGCCATGGCTACTGAGCCAAGGTAGCCTCTATTCCAAGATAGTAGTAGAATGATTATGATATGTCCAGAAGAAGAAACTTCATACTACAATCGAATGATTCATGAGCTATGCAGCACTGAGACCCAAAAGAGGCTAAGCATTCTGCTTCAATGTCATCAGGAGTTTTTCATAGTCCAAACTGAAATCAAGCAGAAGAATCATCTTACTGGCTACCACTAAGCAACCATGATTTTTGGCCTGGTCTGATGAAGGATTTATTCAACTTGGGCATAGTGTGATGAATTAACTAAATGTGATTGAAGTCTAGTTGATTGTACTTGTCTGCAACTTGTTACAAAAAGTATACTCCTAAGTTTTGTTCTGTTTATGTACATAACAAGTTGAATTATAATGTGTTACTATGGTATTGATATAGGTGTTCTTTTGTGTAATTTTAATTTTGATAATTTAAATTTGACTTGGAATGAATGTACAAACATAAAAATTAAATAATTTTATAAGCTTCATTTATAAAATTGTACTTAAAATTTCTTTTCTTGTCTACACATACATATACAGATACATATATAAATGTGTGTGTGTCCTATGAAATTTCATTTCTGAAGACATAGGAATAATAACTAACACTTAAACAGCATTTTATATTGCTAAATCTTTTAGTATGGGTCTAGCTACACTTTAACTCTGCTTCTGAATTTATGATCACAATCATTACAATGTGTCATGTAGAACCTACCAGGCTCCAATGTTTAGCTCCAAACCCATGGTCACACAAACAGACCTCATTCATCTAGTGAGTCATAAAACAAAACTAATGAACATGAAAGAGAAATATTTGGGGGTAAAGGGGAGATTGAAAAGAGGGGTAGAAAGGTGGGTGATTTGATTTCTTGGTATATATTGCATAGATGTTTGAAATTGTCTAAAAATATAATCAATAAGAATCAAACCTCAACTATTACTATACTCTGAGAAAGGAGAACAGGGATTGAAGTGAGAATGAGGAGAAGGACATTGAGAGCAGCAGTTTGAAACATTTTTCTCTCTGAGTTTTGGGGCCATCCTCTCATCCAATATTTAGTGGAGCTCTAATTTTCTGATAGTTTTAGGACATATTTTCATTTGATATTCTGAAATTCTACGGTTATTTCACCAAGGAAACCAAATGATTTACTGTTCTTTGTCCGCAGAATTTCTCATTCAGGATGGCCCTTTCGGATCTTGTGAAAATAAGTACTGTGGCTTGGGGAGGCACTGTGCTATCAGCAGAGAGACAGGGCAAGCAGAGTGTGCCTGCATGGACATCTGCAAACGACATTACAAACCTGTGTGTGGATCCGATGGAGAATTCTATGAAAATCACTGTGAAGTGCATAGAGCTGCCTGCATAAAAAAGCAAAAGATCACCATTGTTCACAATGAAGACTGCTTCTTTAAAGGTAGGAGCAGGGTGAGCACTAAAATGCCAATCTCTATATTTTCCTAATCTCTATTAGTACCATTAGGTATAAAATACAGTGTGATTTTTGTATCAGCAAGTGTCTACAAAGTGGAAAGGAAAAAATAAGCCTAATGAGACTGGTAAGCAGCAGTGTATGCAAATTTATATGGATACAGTTATGATATTCAGTTATAAGGATGAAACTGGCCAAAATATGACTCACAATTTAACATAGCCTTCAGCATTGTGCCATATGGCTCCTCAATCATGGAGTTGCTGTAGGGAGAGAGGATGGCCAGTTCAGACTCAGGCCAAATCTACCCAGTGTAAAGCACCTGGACTGGAGTTAAGGGATCAGTGAGTGCCAAACCATGCTGTGATAGATCCCCATTTTTTCCTGGGCTAAACAATGGTTTCACTTTTTAACACACAACTCAGATTATAAGGAATCTGTAATTACCCACTTGAATAAAGCTGAAGTCGTAGAAAGCTTAGTTAATGAATCTGGGGTGATGATAGTTTAAATTTTAAAGCATTGTTTGCATTCATGCACTTGAGATGATAATTTTAGTACAAAGTATGCCTGAATTAGTAATTTGACATATTATTTGAACATGTTATATAAACATAAGTAATCAAATTGATTTAGCATTTTATTTATATCTTGATTTGTTATTTGGGCTGGAGATAATATTTTCTTATTAATAGTTATAGCTCATATTTAAAATCTACAGTCAGGGATATAAAACTCTTCTGTCTAACAGGCCATGGTCAAGCTGATACCGTAAGTTTGCTTGACTCCTACATCTTAGTTAATCACAATATTCCTTATCTGTGTTCACATTACAAAAATTGCCAGATGTAGCTGTAGAAGCCTGTAATCTCAGAATTTGGGAAGCAAAGCCCTTGCAGATCTCTGTGAGATCAATGCCAGCCCATTCTACATAGGGAGCTCCAGGCCAGCCAGGGCTACATTGTGAGAACTTCTCTCAAAATAAACCCTCCCCCTCCCCCATATTTTAGGACATTCTACTCTTGAAGTTTTTAAAATAATTTTATTTATTCTTTTTATTCAATGTGTATGAGTGTACTGTCTGCATGTATGTGAGTGCACCCGTGTCATCCAACACCACAGGTCAGAAGAGGGCCTCGGATTCCCCTGGAACTGGAGTTAAGGACGGTTTGTAGCCACCGTATGAGGTGCTGGGAATCGAACCTGGGTCCTCTGCAAAGGCAGCCAGTGCTCTTAACTGCTAAGCCATTTCTCCAGCCCCTCTATTCTTGAATTTAAGCTAAAATATGCTGGAATATTTCATTTGTCCTATTATTAAAGGAAATTCAAAATTTAAAGATTTAAAATCTATTCATTTTCAGTGCTGGTAAAATTTCTTTTCAAGGAGATAAAAATGACACAGCAGAGGGAGGCCAGCTGGGTCTCCATAGTGAATTCCAGGCTACACAGTGAGACCTGTCTATAAATAAATAAATAAAAATAAATAAATAAATAAGGAAATAAATTTAAAAAATGACACAGAAGTTTTTGGTTTTTTTTTTTTAAATTTCAGCGATATAAGATGTGGTGCACTGTAGTCATTGTGACTTCTAAAACCCATATAAAATCGACGTGAAAGTGTAAGAATCTCATATTTACACAATGTGGAGCTGTCTATATGTGCAAAGAATTTTATTGTATTAGATTCTTTTCCTTTACCCAAAATAGTGGGAGATGCTATGGCTTCAAATTCATTTTATTGCCTTTTATTTTCCAATTTATGTTACCAATAGTTAAAATTTTTAGTTGGACTTTAATAGAGAATAATTTTTTCTGCCATTTTGACATAAGGTAGTAGAATAAAGATTATACTATCGCACTGATGTCATATAAAAGTAAATAATATATAATATGCAGCTATGTAAACATAGACTGAAATCCTGTTCTTAAACTGAGATTTTTGTCTAATATATAGCAATTGAATATATAGAAACATAAGAGATTAAATATATTTGAAGATAAAATAGTATGCTTAGTGTTCTGCTTTATCAGTGCAGGGTCGTTCATAAGGCCACTAAATATATAAATGAAATATGAGAACAACAGTTTGACTCTTTTCAGAGTTTACCATAAAACAATTGCTTGAAAAACCCTTTCCTTCAGATTTAACCTAAGAATGCTTGCTATATCTATGTTTGCTTCAAAACACATTAAAAGGAAAGGGTATTGAAATTTCATTTACTGTATGTTGGCTATTGGCCAGGGATTAACATACTTCCTAGGTACCATAAATTGTGTAATCTTTGCTTGTTTATTTTAGCATTTTGCCTAAGAAACAGCTAGCTCATAAAGTGACTATTTGAACAAAGAAAGAATAAACAACCCAGAACAAAACAAACTGCCTCGTTAGCGATGTATGCATGGCCAGCTTGAGCTGAGAAAGAAGACTTGTTAAAATTGGAAGTCATCCTTAACTGTGATGTACTCTAATTGATTTTGTGATTATGAATTTTGCCTGGAATTTTAGCCAGTTGCCTTGCTTCTGGCTTATAGTCACTTGAAGTAATAATCAAAATATTAATTTCAAAACTGAAAACAATCTTGTAACTATTTTTTTTTTAATGTGGGGCTGGAGAGATGGTTTAGTGGCTCAGAGCACTGACTGCTCGCAGAGGACCTGGGTTCAATTTCCAGCACCCATATGGCAGCTAGCAATCATTCATAACTCCAGTTCCAGGAGATCCAACACTCTCTGACCTCTGCAGGCATTGCAACAGGGGCACACTTGCATGCTGGCAATAGGCTCATACACATGACTAAACAAATAAAGCATTTTTAAAAATGAATAACAAAGCAAAACAAACCAAACAGAAAATATATTTTGCATTTTAAGACTATCAGAAGGTCAGGGTACCTTGCATGAGAGACAAAGATCCATTGGCCAATCTGGGAAACATTGTAAGTTTAGTTCTTTGAGAATTTCATACAAGCATAAAATGTGTTTTGATCAAATATTATTCCTTCCCCCAAATTTTATGGAACAAAAGCACACCGATTTTTCAGTTGCTTTTTATAACGAATGGAGAATGGAGTGTTGTAGGTGGTAATTAGATGAAACACGTGGACAGAGGGCTGGATCCCTGCAGAACTTACCATAAAACAACTGCTTGAAAAACATCCATCCTTCAGATTTATCCCAAGAGGTTCATTAAGTTTATGTCTGCTTCAAAATACAGAAACCTTATGGTGCCTAGTCTAAAATGTTTTGTTGATCACTGCTTAAGAAATTATTGGTATCTTAAATTTTATTTTTAAAAGTCTTGGTAGTTATTGAGATAACTACAGATATTGTAATATATGCTAAAGTTGAATAGAACAAAACACATACGAGTGAAGAAAGCAAGCAATGTGAGCAAGATCCAGGGATAGTGTGAGAGTCACTATCCTGGTTAGAATGCAATGCCATAATTTGCACAATGTTGCCATTGGGAGAAGCTAAGAACATATGGAATCTGTTTATTATTTCTTTAAAATTTTTATAAATCAATAATTGTCAGAAAATATATAAAATAAGATATTAAAAATTAGAAAATAGTCAATTTTTAAGGAAGGTAAAAATTTCACTATTCATTACTTATATGAATTTAAAGTATTCCTATTTGTTTCATAAATTAAGTTTATCAGGTACATGTTTGGTATTTACAATGAAATTATTAAAATTGACTAGATTTTATAAGCATGTATAAATTTTATAAACATGTTGATTGTTTTAATTTATGCTTAGAATGCAAGTTAAATGTGTATATCTATACATCAATATTGAAATATTTTATCTAGTTTTCCTACATATCATCTATTATTTAAATATTGAAATGCCTCTGTGGTAATAATAATATTCATTATTATTGACAATGAAATGTTTAAATGAATTCACCATGAATTTTCTTTAGTCATCATTGATATGTGGACCTACAGGTATAATAATACGTGAACACATTTTCTAATTCATTTCCATTTACATTAATTTTATTAAGAAATACCTGGCTCTGGTGGAATATAAAATGCAGTGCTTGTTTACCGGCATTAAATATTTTATGTTGCTGTTCAACATAAGAAGTTACATTTCTATACATCTAGATATTTATTTTTGTGGTTCAAGAATCTTGTCTAAAAGTCATTTCTTCTGGAAAAGGCTTCCTAACTGCAGCAATTCACATCAGCACTTAGAGCAGGCACCAGTTCCTGATGCTAGGTCAGTTTGTCATACAAAGCAGAATTTACTTACTCAGAATGCAGAGGTTAGCTGGGGTAAGGAACTCAAGACACAAACGATGCCAAAATGAAGAGGGAATTAAACCTTTTATGAGAAAGTCAATTGAACAGAAACCCCTTTGCCATTTACTGTGCTGGGAATAAAACTGCCATAAAGGCAAATGTTCTGTGCACTTAAATGTGCATCACAAACAATAGAACTTGGGAAATATGTTGTTAACGGCCATCTCCGCACTATTTGAACTAGAGCTTGCGTTGTTTGATCTTTCCTTGCATATTCTGAACATACGCTTTCATTCCATTTTTTAATTTGTTCTTTCACATGTCTTTTAAGGATGAGAATTATGGAAGGAACTACACTAGAAATTGGGCTGCCAATGATATTTTCAAATATATCAGCAAATGCCATGTGCTTAACACACATGCCCCTTTTCTGGAAAGGGCACCTTCAAAAGGCTTCTATTTGTATTTAATGTATGAAAATCCTTTTATAACTTTTAAGAAAAAGTAAACTTTGAGGAATAACACTTAGAGTTTCATTTATTCAGGTTTTGGGGGGATACTATTAGTCGATTGAAACTGCAGGTTTATGGTGAAATTAACTTGGGCAATGATAAAAGTAGTTTAACTCCTTCAAGAGAAGAATATGAAGGATCAGAGGTCTGAATTCATTCAGTACTCCTCAAAAATAGTGATTGAGTATATAACTTCTGATAAAGCTATGCTAAATTATT